CGTTTGTTGCTGGCAATGGTGGTGCCGTCTTCAGCAAATGACTGTGCCGTATGCTATGTCCGCGCTCAAAGGCCGCACCAGCATCATCCCGGTGATGCCTATGCACGTACGAGTGCATGGCCTCCTCAATGAAGTACATCAGAAAGAAGCCGCAACACATAAGCAGCTCGGCGAGGGGGAAACTCAGCTCGCCAATGATCTGGCATTGCTGCAGCTGCTCCACCACCTCCTGTACCTCGGGCAGCAGATGGAGAAAAGTGGTGGCCAGCAGCACGCCGCCGCCAAAGTACAGCAGGCACTTGACCACTGTGGCGGAGCGGGCGTTCGTCTGGTTCTCGGTCCAGCGGTAGTAGCGATTCAGCAGGAACGGTATCGAACCACAGAGTGCGCTGGCGCAGCAGAGCACCACCATGGCGGTTACCTTGGCCGTTAGCAGAGAGCCGGAATCGTCATGATCATGATGGTGTTCGTCGTCGTGATCACCGTCGTGCCTTGGTTCGTGTTCATGCCCGAGATCATGAACGTGATCGTGGTCGTGATCATCGTGCTGCACCGCTAAGTGGCTAACGGGCTCATCAATTTGCAGGAAGCATTTCAAGAAATTATTCACTTGTGTTTGATTCATTGTTGATTTTGAGTTATTTGCGTATGTCCCAACAGATCGGCGCTGATTCCTAACCCCGCTCGCTATAGAGCTCTTTGTCTTTGGCCTATAACTGCCAAAATGTTATTGTCGTCGGAGCAGCAACTGCTGCATTGAGATACCAACTGATGCCTGCCTTGAATGTCAACGAATTTAAGGTAATCTTTTCACTTTCGAGCCGCACGTTGAAGTTTTCTTATTCAAAGGTTTTCTTTTACAAACAAAAGCGGGATTCGGCTATCAAAGTTTTGTGTTTGACTCTTTTTTTTCTTCTTTTTTTTTTTTTTTTTTTTATTATATTTCAACTTTTTGCTTTCTGCTTTATTGCGCCGCACAAGACTTGAATGCTCGGAGCTATCTCACAGACTGACTGGCGTTGGCTGAAACCGAGTCTGGTTGGAGCTGTTGCTGCCAGTTAGTTAGTTTCGATTGTCTATCTTGCAGTTATTTGCCTTGCTCTGCCATCGCCCGCCTGCAACATACACGAGCGAACTCTCGCACCGTCGCGACGGCGACGGCGACGGCGACGACTATACGTGAGCAGCAAATTAAGTAAGCGTAAACAACAGAGATACTCTTAAAGCTCCAATTTACTCTCTTCTGCACACTCGAACGTTCACCTGTTGAGTAAATACCATTTGTTTTGGGCTAAGCATAAAACGGCTCACACACACACACACACACACACACACACACACACACACACACACACACACACACATAAATTCAAGCAGTTGTACAATACATAAAGGCCAATGGAATTAACATTTGCCTAGCGAATTTTTTCATTGCATCCCTTCACTTTTCGCTTCGCTGGAGAGTGCGACAGAGACGCCTGACCTTTGGCTAGCTTGAGTTAGGATCAAACTGCTTTATAAAGCGAAAATTTCGGCAGTTGCTGCTCAGGCAGTCTGATTGGCCAGTCAAGGCGAAAGCTCTTGCTCTTGATGCAAACTAAACAAAAGCTCGCGGTGCTTGTCTTAGCTAAATGCTACAGCTTAGATGCTGTTGACAATTTCATAGTTAAATTTAACAACATTATTGCATATTTCAAAGCAGTTGCTAAGCTAATTGATGATCGTTTAAAACGGGATCCGAAAATATTTGGTCACGCTTGCGGAAATTCGATGGCTTCAAATGAAATTAAATGCATTCATTTGTGCATAGAAAGTGTTAGTCATGCGCTCGATAGGGGTTAAATTTACATTTGTAAAAACAAAACCCCCAAGCGTGTTTATAAACAAATGTGATGTAATTACGACATTTGCACACTTGCTTTTATACTATTTAACATGAGCGTTTATAATTAGAACTATTATGCCCAAACAATAAAATCAATATGCAATTCTGTTCGAGGAAAATATGTTACGTATTTCATGAATGGCTTCTAGTTAAATTTAACTTGATGTTAACAATTGTTTAGGTAGGCTAGCTGTTTTATTGATGTTGTTTGATTCTTGTAAAAGAAAATCCCTTTTTAAAATGTATCTGTATAATTTGTAAATCATTGTTGATCTAGAAAATTGTCTCAGCTTATAGTTACAATTCAGATAGGCCTCGCATGGTTGTCAACGACTTGTGGATCCTTTAAATTTTTGCACTATACATTTACACTTATTACATATGCTTGTGGAGCATCAGGTTAAATTAGAGTATTTTACACTTATTCCCAGTTTTAAAACACGACACATTATCTTGATGTTATTTTTTTTTAATTTTCTTTTATTTCGCTTTCATTTGTAGCTTGTTTTCTTTTTTTTATCTGTTTTCCATTTGTTTCTTAGGGGGTTTGTTTCATTTGCTTAAATTTGTTATGTTTTGTTACTTATAATTAATAATAAATCATTTTATACAATATTTATCTTTTACATACTTCCTTCCTTTCACTTGTCAACCGAAATGACGCTTAAAACATTTCAGCTGTAAATGACTTAAATATTTCATTTTTGTTTTTGTCGCTCGCGTATGCAATAAATTTAAATGTTAAATTTGCTTAAAACTGCTTGCCAGAGTTAACGTTAACAACGTTAACTACTATTCCTGCATTTAGCGAAAGGCGTTGCGTGCACTGCTTGCCAACCGGTTGAACTCCCCGCACTCCTACGCTCCACCACTCCTCCACCTGCCGTTCGATCTCGGTTCCTTTTAATAAGTTTGTCGAGTTCTGTTCTGAATGCCTTTTTTTCTTTTTGTAAATTTGGTAAATATATATATATATATATATATATATATTTAATCAATACATGCGCTTAATATGTTGGTTTGTGTATTTTTTGTTTTTGCTTTTTTTTTATCAACATTAAAGTACAATATCTTGTATTTATAATTTGTTATACTTGACTGTTTATAGAAATATCGCTTTCTTATTATTGATTTTTTTAGCATAGTTTTGTTTAAGTTTGTTTTTTTCTTTTGTGTTTAGTTTCCATATATAATACAAATGATTTTCATTTAACTATACAAGAAATTTGGTAAATGTTATGTATGCCAGTTTTGCGTTTTATTATGATTTTATATTTTAAAATTTGATTTTTGTTTACCCATTTTTGAAATAAATAGCAGAAACACATTCAAAGTAAAGTTTCTTTCTATTCTCTCATTTCGCATTTTGTAAAGTTAACACTATTTTCATCTATTTCTTTGTTGTTTTGTTTTTTTTTTTCTTGTCGTAGTATGTATATTTATAAGTATAAAAAATTTGTTTTAAATATATATATATATATATCATAGAGTTGCTGTTGTTTTTACGCTTTCTGCTTTTGGGGGAAGGAAAACAAATTCGTTCGGATGGGTTGAAAGTAATTTCGTTTTTCATTTCCATAAATGTATTAAGAGATGTACAAATATTTTCAAGAAGTTAAGATGTGTGTGCGTGTGTGTGTGTGTGTGAGAGAATGTGTGTGTGCGTGGTATCTATGCATGTTTCGGTACGGGGGCGTAGCTGCAGGCAGCTTTTAGTGTAGTAGGTATATAAGTTTAGTATCACGTAATATCAAAATAAATAGCTCAGTACTTTGTTTTTATTTTCTCTTGATATTTTTGTTGGTTTTTCATATTTTCTCATCTTTCATTTATCATTAACTATAAAGTGATTGATCTTGAGTAGTTTCTAGCTTTCTTTTTAGTTTCTTATATCATTTGATTTATTATTATTTTCATTCATTTCTTTTGCTTTATTTAGCTATTGGAAAACATAGGGGAACACGTTGCCTAAAAGGAGGAGGATGTGCCAGATATTTGGTTAAGGCTTTATGTGTGTGGAATTCCAGCTGCATGCGAATTTTTACTAAATTTTGTAAATGTACGTAAATAAAATTGACCTAAAAACACACACTAATCAAATAAATGCACTAATCTTGTACAAAATGAATTCGACTACGAAAGCGCATTAATCGCACACCATGTTCGACCTTCGGCATTAGTTATAAAAATTATGTACAATACCATATACTCAACTGTATATACATACAATATTTATATATATATAAAAAAAAGTGCATCCAAAATCAGAGCTAAACAAAAGCTGCCTACGCTAAGAGAGTTACGAGTGTGGTTCCAGGGGAACGTGTTTGTAGAGGCTGGGGGTGGGATTGGGGGGAGTGTTGTCTGGTGGCATATACGTAAATATACATGTAGATAATTTGTTTCATAGGTTGAATAGTTGTTGAAATGAAATACTTGTTATATGCGTATTTTAATGTACAATTTGTTGCCTATAAATATTTATGTAAGTAATGATTTGTTGTTGTATTTGACGCTGCACTAGTATTTTGATAAATATATATATCTGTATAGATATATATAAATATATTTAAGTGGTTCGCTGTGGCGTGTGTGTGTGTGTGTGTGTGTCTGTGTGTGTGTGCACGTGTTTGTTGGTATCGGGATTTAGGTTCTTATAAGTTAGGATCAATTGGATATTGCTCAGCTTCTTTTTAGCACGACGCTGAGCTGCCTGGCTTTGAATTATGAAATTTATAATATATATATGACAGTTTTGTTTTTGTTATTTTCGAATAAGTTTGTTTTGTATATTATTTGCATTTTGTTTTGTTTTGTTTTGTTTTGTTTTGTTTTTGTTTTTGTTTTGTTTTGTTTCTCCTTTGTTTTTATTAATAATATAATTAATAATTATAATAATTTATATAATAAACATAAACGCAAAATTGGTAAATAATAAAAATAATAATAATAAAATTGTGTTTTTTCTTTTATTTTGTTTTCGTTTGTATTTTTTTGTTGCATTTTTTTTACTGTTTTTTTTTTTTTTTGTTGTTGCTTGTGTTTTTGTGGTGTTTAAGTTTTTGTTTATATAGTTTTTTTTTTTTGTTTTTGCTGTTTTCATTCTATTTTCTGATTTCTGTATTTATATAAATTACAACGGAAGTGTCGGTGTATTTGTAGTTGGTGTTGGCGTCAACATCGACGCGGATGGAGGATAACGCAACGTGTGCTGCGACGTTGCCTGTTGTATGTAATCCTGACTCGGATTATTCAATACGCTATCCCGTGAGTTTGAATGTGAAGTGGCGCGCAGCAATGTGACTGCCTCGCGTTCTGGACTACATTGTACACCTTCTAGTCATTTTTGGCGCGTTGATTTCTTCTTCTTTCGTTTAAAGAAACAACAACATCTGGAATATAAGGAACCACTAGAAACAGTTACAAAAAAGAACCGAAAAGAGAGATGCGCATTAAAACGACAAAGCAAAAACACCAAAACATCTGATTGATCAGTTGATCGATAAATCGTTAAATTGTTAAATCGTCAATTCGATAACAACTTCTCGATCCATCAAGAGATCATCATCAACATACTTTGTTTCGTCGACAAGCTCTACTTCGGGCTGCTGTGTGATGGGTGTATTAGAGTGTCCGGCCGTGGGATCGTCCGCATTCAGTTCGCCATTTGTCGAACTCACAACCTGTAACAAGGACACAAGCAGAATATGCAAAGCATTGCAGAAAGTTATTAGCATTAGTTTCCATTGATTATCATACACCAACACTAAACATAGAGTATACATATTGTCTGCATTTAAATTAAGTACTTGGTGATTTTATACATATCATCTGTTTTTATTTCTATTCATTTCGATTTTATAGCGCTAGTCAAAAATATGTGTTTTCTTTTACTAAAGGACAAAATTAACAAAAACAATTGCCCATCTGGAGTATGATAAGTTTTGTCTAGTGTTGTGCAACTACCAAATTATGTGTCACTAACACTAAACGTGAATTAATTTGGAGACCTTTAAGCCCTATCCCTCGCACGACCTTTTCGACTGCCTTCTGAGCTTCTTCCACCGTTGCAAACGACCCATTAAGGATATTACTTTAAAATGTTGCGTAGATGTTACAATAAGTATACACTTCTGATATACCACAACGGTATTAACAATCAGATTGATTTACAAATAAATCAGTTCGTTTTCGTCTGTCTCTAAGCAAATATATGAGATATATATATATTCCATAATGAAATAGACTGATCAAATTTAACAGAATTGAAGTGGAAAATAAATGGGAAAACTAATCTGATCAATTTTAAGAGGTTATTATTATTGGTACCGTCTGTTTTTATCAGGTGTGCTTATTGAAACATCTCAGTTCTACAGAGATTGCCTTTCTATATTCAACTCGTTTGCTACATAGCTAATAGTTCTAACTAACTAACGATAGATCCTCGCTTTATGTACACAATTACACAATAGACAAACACACACAATCACACATGTGACACACACAGACACTCTCACAGGACCATGCAGGACATAGAAAACGTTTGAAACTGGAGAACAGGCCACAAGAATTCCATAAAATACCTTGCACGGAGTGTTGACACTATTTCATATGTAAGTAAATAAAACCTTATAGCATATTGTTTTCATTTTTTGGGTAGGCAATTTTATTGGGCATTTAGCTGGATGTTGTAGGTAATAGGTAGAAGATAGTAGATGGTAGATAGTAGATAGATAGTGGTAGTAGAAGTGTTTTGGCTTATTTCTTGGGCCCATCGTCGCAGTCGCTTGTCTCGTAATAAGCATCAAATGGGCTATCATCGTCCGAGCTTGAATCTTCGGGCAATCTCTGTAATAAGTTTGGGTTTTGATTTGCTTTCTTCTTTGGCTGTGACTCAGTTGTCTCTGCTTTTTAATGGGCATGCCAATGAATTGGGTATGTACACAGTAAACAATTTTGGTTTAAACTTTCTATAGCAAAAATGTCAGAAATGGTTTTGATATTTAACCAGAGAGGGCGGACTCCTTTCACCTGAGCATCTATTTTCCCACCCTGCCAACAGCTAAACTTGCTATGTGAAATGAAACTGAAGCAGAAGACGCATTTAAACCCAATTGTTTCAAATGTTGGATAGTTTTTATTTAAAACCGCTAAGAATTGAATTTAAACCATCAATCTTTACTGTGTTAGAGATAATGATCTTCTAAGTATTGTCGAATTTTCGAAAGCTGTGCTGTCTATGTGTGGGTGTGGGTGTGTGTGATTGTGTGAGTGTGCGTAAACATTTGTTTGTGTGAGTAGAACATGCAGTTGGTTTCCATTGCAAGACATATGTGTTGGTAAACGCGCGATTAACGCCATGCAGTGCAGAAAAATGATTTCTGAGAGATATATCGAAGAAAAATTGAATCTTTGGCTACGTTTCTATTTATAATCTTGCTGGCATGCATCGTATTTTGAAACTAGAAACCAAGCTATGCACATTCCATTTTACAATCGGCGCAGGATATTTCAAATTTCAAAAAAGAATGCCCGAAAAAAAAATAACTAGTGGGAACGGAACGGAACGGAACGAGAGAACAAACAAACCGAACTAGGGATTATATTGAAATCAGTACCTTGTTGAGCTAATGTAGAGTAAATCAAGTGAAAACATTAGAATTGAAAAGGCCAAAAATATAACAGTCTGCGAGTAATTCAATTAATAGATATTTTTTGTTGTTGTAATCATCGTTATCATCATAATTGTCACATAATTATGTATATAAATAATCTAGGGATATACGTATATTATATGTATGCTTATGTTGATTTATGCACATGGAACGATGAGTATACACATATAGAATTGAAACAAATGTCAGGCATTCAACGAGCGGAAGAACAAAAGAGCAGGTAACATTCATTTGTAGAACATGTAGAGCCTAGAATAGATACCCGATATAATCGATATTTTGCGGGTAGCACTCGTTTAATCATTTTTCACTAGTTGGAATTATGAAATTATTTACAGAAATACTAAATTGATAACTGAACACAGAATACGAAAGGAAAGTTTTAAAAGATGCGGTAGAAATTTATCGCCTGGCTTCCGCTTCGGCTTCGTCAAGACTCTGCACTTACCTGCACTGAACCATGCCGATCGGCGGGTGTCAGATTGCCAAGGGTTGCACCCGGCTTGGGCACGTCCGGCCACGCAGCAACACCTCCTTTGGCATTTGTCTGTGGTAGGATGGGTCGGAGATCAAATCGTATCGGATCGGATCGGATCAGTTGGAGTTTTGTTTAACGGAGTGTCGGGATGGTAATATGGATATTTGGCGAGCGAGCAATGCATAAATTGTTTCATTATTAAATTTTAGTTTATCGTATTCAAGAGACAGACTAGGCGCTAATTTTTGTGACTAACAACAAAAGTAAAGGCAACTAAAGCAGTTCAATTCAAGTGTGAGGCCAATACAACTAAAGTTGTTACAACAACAAAAACCAATTTTAAATATAATACTTAAAGCCAAAACCAAATTCCGAAATTTGGGTATGTGTGTGTGTGAATGTGTGAGGCTGTGTGAGTTTGTGCAGCAGCGGCTAGAACCATCCACCTTTTTGTGTACAAGCCCTAAAAAGCTCCTAGCCTATATTTAATAACAATGCGATGATTGAATGGATCGGAACAAACCATTATTGATAGGCGCCAACAATTACAATTAATTCTCGAGCTGTATAAATACGATTTACTAAATTTTAAAACAAAAAGCATGATCTAATAACATATAGAAATACGTTTTTGCTGCTAGCTCATATAAGAATCTGATATAATACAGCTACTATATATGCAAGTTAACTAACTCTAACCTGAAGTATTATATATTCCTCATTATCATTATCAATTTCATTAAAATCAAAATAAGAGACGTCCTAAAACAAGTTGAATTCAACAATTCAGAGCAAATATTGAACAAAATGTTTTGTGTTTGAATTCATAAAGCAAAAACCAAAATTAGAGCAGTTATGTATTGTAAGAATCGGTTGAAGTAAGAGAGAATAAAGGATTCTAATATATAAATATAAGAGTTAGTTTTAAAAAATGTGTAAGCTTAGTAAATATCAGAATAATAATATAATTAGGATTTAGAAACCAAAACAAAAATAGTTGAAAATGCATTTTGTCAGTGATAATAAGAATACTTTACCTTAGCCGTAACATTATGACGATCTTTATTTGGTGAAATGATGACTTCATGGCCAGTTTGCAGAGATCCGACGGGCGTTGACTGTGGGCGTGGTTTGGTCAATGATATATATGGATGCAGTCGATTTAGATTTAGTTGTTCGATCGATATTATATATTTAATGCACAGTAGTAGATCAGTAGATCAGTTCGAATTTTAGACACAGAAACGCAGAGACACATGATTTTTATTTTGATTGATAGTTTAAATCGTTTTTGTTGGTTTGTTTGTTTAATTGTTTTTTTTTTTTATTTTAAGTTTTCGATGTAGTTGTTGACAACCATAAAAAGACAGAGAATTTCAAAGAGAGAAAGAAGAGATAGTGCTGTTAGAATGACTTCAAATACAGTTAGTCGTTGGGCCTTAATGCTAGTGCTTAACTTAACTAAGTATTGCGAGCTTGCGCCAAGCGTTTACCAACACTGAACAAGCAATCTAACGGCAGCATCAGTATTACATCAATTCTCTGGCACGTATAGTAGAGTAGGAACTAGTGCAAGTATAAAGTATACCTTATCGGATTTATTCTTGGCCAAATACGAGGGCGGCGCATTTTTAATGACCTTCATTTGATCCAGCTGGTCCTTGGTCTTAATAAAGTACACACACATACGAGATCAAACATACACAGAAATAAAGGTCCAAATCGGATTAAGTTAAAATAAGCAAAACTTGCAAGCAATAAATGAAAACAAGTGTTTTGTTGATTTTTTTTTTCGGGGGGGCGGGTTTTTTTTTTAGCACTGCTTTCAGTTTTGTTTGGTCTCTCTTTAATTTAATTTTGCAATTGGCGCTTTATAAAAATATATTCATAAACGGAATGAAAGAAATAACATCGCGCTTCAACAATAATCGAAATTGAATTGAACAATCTGGCCCATCATTTTCAATCATTCTCATCTGCTGTTAACACTCTCGCATCGTAATGGGCATCTTTGGCTTTTTGCATGCTATCCAAAATATTTGATAACTGATTTTTGAACGCTTTACTCTCTACCGGGGGCTTCAACATGCGTTACCCATTTTAAAATGATCATTTTAGAGTTACATGAGGAGGCGCATTACTCAAGTGTTAGATACTGGAATGTCTTGCTTGGCTTAGGTCTCCTATAAATTAAATGTGAGTTTAGAATTCGGCTCAGGTGATTGTCAATGAGAATGCGAATATCCATTTCATATATAGATACATTAATATATGTACATATATATGTATATGCATATGTATATGTATATGTATGTATATGTATACAATAGTTATAGTAAAAGAGCCACATAGTGATCAGCGTATCGATTTTACGTTTTAACTTGTTACCTACCATGGTCTTCCCTGTCCAGTCAAATTCACCCTCATCGGTATAGCCCTTACGTTCGAATAAGTCTTGAAACAGTCTTCGCAGAAAATCATAGTCCGGTGTTTCGAAAAAATCTAACCGCCGCACATAACGCAAATATGTTGCAAACTCTTCGGGGTGGCCATCACAAAGTACCTGCAAATTGAAAAAGTAAAATATGAAATGAATTGTTAAATAATGGCATATCTTCTGAAAAATATAGGGTAGCTGATCAATTAAGAAGAATCTCACGATGGTCTTACTATCTATTCATCTATTGATGTGTTCCCTAAAAAATATTTTGAATTTCTTTAACGTATGCATAAGCAAATACAAATAATATTAAAATAAACCAAAAATTATATAAAAGATATAAAGTAAAACAAGTAAGATTCTCTAGTCGGGTTTTCCGAGTAGGGGATACCCTAAGCCCTCTTCTACCAATGCCAAATGCAGCCTGCGCGTCTAGCGTTTGCTTAAGGAGCAATAAAATTAAATTAAAAATAAAATAGTTCTCAAAACTTGCAATCTTAAATAGGAACACCCACACACACACGCTGCACAGAAAACAACACAATCGCAATTACAATGGTGTTGTTGACCTTAACCGATCTTGATGAAATTTTCAATAGTTTTAAAATTGTGGCTTAAATTTGTGGGTAGTTTAAAGTGGTTTATTTATTTTATTTGTAGCTACGGTGTGTAGGGGAGTTGGCAATAACTATAAAATGAAAGATTTTCTCAAGAAACAGAATTTCGATATCGATTCTTATCGATTAATTGGAAACGGGCATGTTATCGAATAGGAAGCAAACTCGTACTGCGAAGGCACTAGGACCTACGTTCTCTACCTCCTTTAGGTTCTGAGATTCTTGCGTTTGTACATACGGACACACGAAAGGACGACACGATCGACTTGGCTATTAATGCTGATCAAGAATATATATACTCTGCGGGTATACCAAATTGTAGTTAATCCAATACGAGATTCGATTATATTTGACATTGCTATAAATGTAAGAATGTATTCTTTTCTGCGAAATGTATTTTTATTATTTAATCATATTTCGTTGCGAAACTAACATTGCTTAGCCCTATTAATAAAATGATGTAAAGATATTTATATATAATTGCTCACCTCAATGGGCGTTGCACGTTTTGTATCACCGATTTTTTGATATCTCTCTTTGAGTGTATCAGCCTTAAGGCCTTGCCAGGGCAGTGAACCTCTTAAGAAGTACATGAACATATGACCCAGAGCCTCCAGATCATCACGCCTCGACTGCTCGCGTCCCATATGTGTGTTGATTGACATATAGCGAGCGGTGCCAGTTAGGGATTTATGCTCCCGATATGGTATATGTCTATTTGTGTCTAAATCAATGTATTCTTTGGCCAACCCGAAATCTATTGAAATTGTCAATAGGTTAGTTTAATAAATAAGATACATTCTATTCATTTTCATAAGCACTTACCAATTATGTGTATAATTTTTTCACGTTTTGTTGATGTTCTGCCAATGAGAAAGTTCTCTGGTTTAACATCCCTATAAATTAAGTGCCGACTATGAACATATTCGATCCGGTGGAGCTGTTTGGTGGAGCAAATTTGTGAAGAGCAAACCAGAAAATTCGATAAGTATTTGATCTGATCAAATATGATTAAACATTGAGTCTACCAAGGAGCAGAAGATTACAACAAACCGTAACAAATTAAATTACATTTGCATAATTAACTCATCTTCATAATTAACGTGCTCATTGACAGACTGAAAATTTGTGTAAATGAATAAAATTATTAAAATTCAATTTTTGATTTGTAGTGTCTCAACTAGCTGAAGTTTTGTTGTTCTTGGTTTAATGGCAACGGTTTTTGGTATCTTAAATAGTTTTGAACCATTTTTTTTGTATTTTTTTTTGATATACGAAATTAATATGACGCGCTTCAAAAACAAACTAAAAATATATTCAAGTCAACTACATAATAAATGTACATGCAAATTATTATTTTTAATATTATGTACGTATTTTTTTTTACAATGAACGTTGGCAGGTAACAACTAAATTTGATATATTGCAGAATATGCTAGGTAAGAAAGCGGCATTTAAATGTGCATGGCATTAGAATGCGTTATATGATTATGCTTAACCAAAACGTTAAGAACTTAGGACTATAAAAATAAAACCTTAACCAGATGTAATATCGTCTACAAATGAAAGAAAGAAAGAAAGGAATAGGTGGGAACGTAAGTAGATTACAATATAAAATATGACTAAGCAGCATACTCCCTCCTCTTGTTGTTGTCGTTGTTAGTTAGCAAAATTATAAAGTAAAAATTATAGATCGGTGATAAATAAAGATTAACTAAATATATTCACCCAAGAAGCCCCTACAAACACACACACGCACACCACACACCCACACACTCACGCGCTCAGAAACAAAAATTTGATCAGGTTTTTTTTTTTTTGGGTATGTGTGATGTTTTGCGCTGAGTGGCCAGTGTTGGTTAATTGTTGGCTTAACTGCTACCAGTGTTGTGTACGTGAACAAATATGTGAAATGTACTGAGAAATGCGCGTGCTCGAATAAATAATTGCTTATTTGCTGTTTTGTATTGTTTTTTTTTTTTTGTTTGGTTTTATTTTTTTTTGTTTTTGTGGTGGTTTTGGTTGTACTTACTAATTGTATAGCTATCAGTAGTACGCTCTTCAAAGTGAAACGTCTGCCGCAAATATCGAACAAATCTTCGAGTGATGGACCAAGCAATTCCATAACAAGAGCATTGTACTTGCCGCATGGGCCGAAGTAATATACTTCTGGTACACCCTCTGCTACAGGCCAACAAATTTCGGAAATTTTCAAAGTATGTGTGTGTAGAATAAAATGCATTTTAATTGTTTTTTTTTTGTTTTGTTTTTTTTTTTTTTGTAGTGTTGGGCAGCGCATGAAAGTAACGTAATTTTTTTTGGTTGGGATACGTTTGTTGTTGTTGTTGTTGTTGTTTTTTATGCAAAAATCGACAAATATAAGGAGAGAAAGATAGAGAGAGAGAGAGAAAGAAGAGAATAAAGAGAGTGAGGTAAGAGACAAAAAATATTTTAGATATGTATTTTTGTATTATTCCAGTTTTATTTTTTTTTAAGGGAGCACCGAGTTTAACGTGAGGAAGACGAAGTGAGAAAGAGAGAAAAAAAGGGAGAGAGCGAGCGAGCGATAGTGAGATATATGACTCTTTCAGGTTAGTTAAGCGCGTCTTACGTTTTATTACCACCTTTTTATTTTCAACTTCAGCACTCTTGAAATTTTCAGAAAAACTGTGCTAAAAACAACAAGAACAACAAAAATAGAGATTCTCGAAGCATATAACGAGGAAGCCTGCACAACGACCCTGTCATTATATACAATCTTTTAAATTGCTGCTGCATAAATCTGGGCGGGAAACTATAGATGTCGTATAACTACGCTTCAGATAAGAGTACAACAGTTCCTTCAACTGCGTATTCGGTCAAACTTAATCTTAGCTTAGGTGTAGAGTCGAGTGTATAACAGTGAAGTGTAGGCTTTTAAGAGGCCATTGTGTTATTGCTGTTGCTGCTTTACCACTTTAGCAAAATATTTCTTGGAGCTTGTGTTAGTAGTTGGTTAAAATAAGTATAATCATAGAGCACATACAAAAAGTTTGTCATTAATTTAAATCAAGAGAGAAGGTAAAAATCGTTTACTTAGGCAACTAACGAGAAACTGTTGTTATTAAATATTCTTTCGAAATTGCTTCATTTTTATTTTTTCGTATATTGGCTTTTTGGTATACAAATAGAATGAAGTTCTTTATTATTTACATAGAAACATTCAAGGTACTCTTGCCTATTAACGACGCTTAGTTTACATGCTTTTAAATTTAATTGGTGGTTTAATTTGATTTCAATTTAGTTTCAAATGAGCTACAACCCAAAGAATTAAAAAAAAAATTAATAAAAAAAAAGTATCTTAATTTAACTACAACAGATACATGTATATATTTAGTTCGTTGGCAAACTTGTTCCACTACAGAAACTATAAAATGTTGACACTAACGTTCATTGTGTTGTGTTCTCAGGTTTCTTTATTAAAAAAAAATTATAGAAAAATAAAAAAAGTTGCTAACATGAAACGCTTAGCCGTTGAGACACTTTGTTGTTTAAAATCGAAATAATACGGTGTAGAATAGTTTAAGCGAAATATAACACGGACTTCACATGCTTCCGATTAACAACTGTAAGAACTTCGCAGCGCAATTGCTTAGAGAGGACAGTGCCACAGACATGTCCCTCAGTGAGTCAGCGATCACTGAACACTGTTATACACATTTAAAACTGTGCTACATAATCAAGCAATCAAGCAATTGGCGCCATGTGAAATCCGCGCTAACTCGCCCAAAAACAAACGTAATTTTTTTCGCATTGCGTTTTAAATAAACTTACAAGTTGTTTCGCTATCATCAATACAGTCTTAAGTGAAAATTTACGGGAGCAAATATTGAAGAGATCTTCTAATGATAATCCCAATAACTCTAAAACCATGGCATTATAACGGCCACCACAAGTGCCCAAGTGATAAATGCGTGGTATGCCTTCTGGGGCGTTTTCGGCTGTATGAGCGAGCGCATCGATTTATAGGGTATGTGCCATGCCATCACAATGTGTTATGCAAAAGAAATCGGCCGATTGTTTTGGTGGGTGGTGGTGGGTTGATTGGTTGTCGCACGATGGTTATTTTTTGACACAGGTTTGGTTTTTCAGTATTTTCGATATCATTTGTCGGTTTCGAATTTCATATTTCACAGCGGAAGTTCATTGGTGTATGGTGATTTTGATGGTTTAATGAAGGAACAGATCAATTTGCATATATATATATATATATATGTATTTATATATATAAGAACAACGAAAAAAAGAACGGGCGAAAGAATAACGTAAATTTTTTGTAATAATGTTCAGTTGAGAAATCAGCATATAGTAAGTTGGTGGGTATAAAATCAGAAGAATATAATGGTAGCACAGCTTTGGTGTTTCCAAAATATACAATAGTTTTATTTTTGTTTTTTTTTTTTTTTATATTTGTTGTAATTTAATTGACGCACCGACCTCCGAAATATGCTTGAGAAAATCTATTCATGTCTTCTTATGTGTATTCTTATAGCACTCAAAAATCAATTCAAAGTGTTATATATAGAGTTGAGTTTACGAGTTTGTTTATCAAACTAACAAACTAACGAAGGTGGTAACGGTGCAAAACATAGTTTTATTGGAGCGGTAATTGGAGTAAGTAGGAATGGGTTAGCAATTTGTCAAAAGGACGACAAACGGGCATGGAAAAAAATAATATATTTATTTTTATTTTCATTATTGTTTTTTTTTTTTTTTTTTTTTTTTTTTTTTGTTTCATGACCTATTTCTTTTTGTTAGTTGTTTTTATTGCTGTTAGTGTTTTATAGGGGTATGGAAAAAGTTGTATATTCTGTGTTATAATAAAGACAATTTAACATACCATGTGATCCTAATAGCTTATAAAACCTATACTCTAAGTGTAGTTGCGGAGCCTTTGACTTCATAGGCTCCATTTTTATTGCTACATGTTCATTGTTGTAAAGATTTTTTCCTGCAAAAGAAAAGAAGAAAATGTATTAGCAATCTTAAATAAAAACAATAACATTAAATCAAAATCAATCCGAGACATGCCTACACTCACAAGACTCCCACACACACACACACACACACACACACATATTTACATATATGTGCACACATAAAATGCAAATCATGCTCAAGAGCTCAAAAAACTGCAACTGACCAGAACTAACTATTCAATCAAAAACTAGCCAGAGCATGCAGATGACCCCTCATACCTGTTACATTATCAGCGCCACGCCCACCAGCAGAAGCGCCTCCAAAGCAACACATGCGACGACCTGACCATTAAGAGAACACCATTTAAAAAAAAAAGATTTAAAAAAACATGTGGGTAGTTGATCGATGCGTCCGATACCCACTGCCGTAAATTGATATATGGTTGAATTTAAACCCAGTTTTTATGACACTCCGAAATTCTCAAATCGAATATAGAAAACATTTGTATAGTATTTGAGATTCGTTTAAAGAAGCCAACGTGATTCCTTCAGCAACTTATTTCTAAGATCCTAAATCAAATATAACAAGCAAGACATTTTCTAACTATAAGACTAAGCAGAAGCTATAACGATTCGGCTGTTGATAATCAAAAAAATATATATGTATATTCTATAAGGTCAGAGATGTCCCCTTCTATGCGTTACATATTTATATCGTGACAGAATTATAACACCCTGTACATCAATTCGTTAACTGCACGGCATAAACGCACAGGTGTGAAATTATGTCATGACTGACAACGACGCCTCAATAGGGGGAAAGGGAAAGCTTATCGTTCTCCACAACATTGTCGACATTTAAAGTCATCAAGCGAGCGTACGGCAAGCACGAACGCATACACACACGCACACACACACACATTTGGATATGTGGAAAAGCCGTATGATTCTGATTACAACAAAGCAACCAGAGCAACACCCTACGACTTGTCTCGCTTCCCGCTTGCGTTGAGTAAATTGTTTGTTTATTTAATTGTTCAAAAAAACTCCATCAACAGAATTCTCCTTTGGCGGTTTCTTCCAATTTTCCTATTCCCATCCCCATTAACCCGAATATATTCAGAGCGTAAGCAAAATGTCTCCGACTTTTTGCAGCTGACTATGAAATTTGCCGAAGCGCAAGAACAGCACGTTTTTATAACAGATTCGTGATAAATATTTCTCCAAAAGTGTTTAATTTTCGGTAATCATTTAATGGAACACAAAAAATACGGCGTAAGCCTGAGCCAGTAAAATTAAACTACGAAAGTATAATTGAATCATTTGTAAATCATTAGAAGTAATTCTAATACAAGCAGGGGAGCTCTTAGCCGCAATTTTCATTCATTTCTCTGACACTTCATAAGCGTGCCGTTATTCAAGCGTAACTAAAACTATCCCGACCTAACGCAATACACAAAAACAAAAACATTATACACTATGTGTATGTATGTACACCCAGACACACACACACACACACAGACACACTACTTGATTCCATCATAAATTGATGAATCTACAAATACTATAAAGGAGCTTTGCGTGTATCCAAAATAAACAATAGAACGGCTCCCAAAATAAACTAAGCAAACAAAAATTGACCAATAATAACAACAACAAAGTATTACACATTCTAGTCTAATATTAAATGTCCACTGCCCACTGAGCACCGCCCGCCCCCTGCCCACACGCACGCCACAAATAAAAATAGACCTAGACGTAATATAATAATAAATTAATTCCATATCATATGTGTGTATTGCAGACAACAAATATGGGGTAGAAGATATTTGAAATATTTGTTTATCCAAAACTAATTTTTATATTTTTATTTTTAAAGTGACTTTACAACAATTAAAAAGACCTAATCTAGAAAGTGAAAAATCGTGCACATATCGAACTATGTTGAATAACAGGAAAACTCCAGCGCATGTTGCCCTGACTGAATGACTGACTGATTGACTGAATGACTGACTGACTGATTGGTGATCAACCGCAAGAGCTAGGAAGCAGAAATGATCGCTGTAGTCACTTTATGTGATAAAGGTGCACGTTAACACGGGGTTTCGGGAAATTCCACCCGCAACTGTGGAAGAAAAGCGTTTCACGGGCAAAGCCGGGCAATGCATTCAATAGTACGTAAAACTAAAAACTGACGATGATACACAAATTTATTTAAAAGCTGCTATTCGTAATTTGTGTAAAAATATAGGACACATGGACTTGATTATTTTCAAATTAGAATATCTATTATTATATTTTTATTAAGAATATTAAGTATCACAGCAACTAGACTGACTTTTTAGTTGAAAAACTAAATATATAAAAAAAACAATCAGCAAATTCAAATTTGCAAGATTCCTATTACAATTAATTGGCAATGCGGAAAATAGTAAGAGTGATATAAACTTGTTTTGCGTATATAAACGGAATAGGAAAAAACGGAAATGGATAAGTTACACGTTCCTTTATTTAGATAAGCACAGAACAGAAAACAAAATCGACATATGTATAACACCATGTACACAAGTGCTAATTAAACACAGATTTTTCTAAAGTCTCCATTTGCATGGAAGAGTGTAAATACACACACATATACACACATATACCAGCTAAAAAGCTAGCAGTGTGACTCATGCCTCAATACACAGGCATATGCACATGCATATGGTTCACGAACGAAATGAAAATAAAAACCAAAGCTCAGACATTTCAAGATTACCTAGCTGAGGATAATGAAAAGATACAAAGAAATTGTACAAAAAGCGTGTTTTTAATAATAAGTAAGAGAACAAGAAAACGAGATACAAAGTTGGGCCGGATGCAATTAGTTGTTATTCATAGGGACGCGGCTATAGCTGCTTAACAGTTTCAGCAGCATTGAACGCTGGTTTAGCTACCTGTTGGCAAAATGACAAGTACAACCACAACAACAACAACAGCTGCAACAGATGCATGCAAATGCATAAAAGGAAGTGGCAAGCCCAGAAGACAAAAAAAAAAAAAAGAAGTAGCAACAAGAAAAACACAATTTTATAAAAGCGCATTTAGCAAACAAAGCAAAAGTGGCGATGCCAACTGCAACAACAATAACAACAACAACAACGAAGACGACGACGACAAAACAGATGGCAAAATGGAATGGCGTTTTATATTGTATTGTGAAAAAAAAAGTTCTCATTGTGGTCTGTGGTTGTTGTTCTCAGACTTGTTCTCGCCATTCTGTGCTCTTGGCAGCCATGAAAAGGAATGCACATGCAAAGGAAGTAACGAAAATGGCTATCCAAAAATACTCGTCGTGAAACTTGGTCGTATTCAAAAGAGCGAGAGAGGCACATATGTAGTTTGCTTGAGTCATAAACATAATTTACAACTTCTTTACAGTTATGAGACGCACGTTTCTCGCAATCAACGTACTTGGCGTGGGGCTTCAAGGTGCTGGTGCTGTAAAATGCAGTGACTAATGATGCAAGATTTTATTCAGATTTGATAAGTCGAGACACTGTTATGTTGTCCCACTGACTGAATAAAAGTGTGCCTCGTGCACAAGTTCTCTTGGCATTCTTTTTTTGTTTTTTTGTTCATTTCAAATTTCATTTGACGTCGCTTCTCCGTGATTCTCAAGTTCCACATTTCATTCGTATCGCATTTGTTTCTTGGGAATAATTACTATAAACAAATATTCTTTGAAACAAACGTAGCCAGTTAGAAAAAGCTCTATTCTTATACAACATTATTATAGACCAGTTGCATGATAGATATTAATGGGAAAAACATTATTTTCGACAGATTCTTACTACGTCAGCTATATGATATATTAGAGATCAAGTCAATCCCACGGCCAAACGCTGTAGGATAGACCGGACGAAAAGGTTATAGTTTTGGACTGGTTCTTAGCATGATCCCGCATTTCCCACGGATCACGACGGATTACTGCTCCAACTGTTTTGATATTATATCAGTGTTTTTATTAATAGTTATATGACCCATAAGGAACGCAGTGGAGAAAGATTATTCGCATGAACTAAAAAAAAAGCGTGATCATCTGCAGATCCAACCAATATAGGCACAGGCCAAATTATATCAAGGTAGCGCTCTACAATTGCGCGACTATAGTTTGCATAAAAACAGACAGGCAGACCATTCAGATTCAAAAATTATTCCACCAAACTAGAATATACATACATACATTTCAAGCATATTTACTATGTTTAATTCTCTCCGGTCAGCTGCAATAGTTATTACTTTTACGTGTACCCTAAAGACCTTCTACAGTTTATGACAACATTAATTTCGAACACCTCACACTTATTTGTCAATAAACACTTTAACTCAGAAATAAAAAAATTTGAATACCCTTCAACTGGATTAACATTTTGGGGTTTAGATGTGGCGCGGCCAATGTGCTTATTTTTGGTAGTTATGAACAGGCCCCAAAATAAAATTTTCGATTACTGTAAATACAACCGTAATCAGGATTGAAAAAACAATTGATTGGTTGCTAACTATTTTGTAGCATTTGGAAACATAAATGCAAAAAATTTTAAATGGGCTCTACGTTATATGTTATCGCTATATTATCTGGTGGTACTCGCGAACAGTTTGATCCTGATTTAAACATGATTTCTTTATCAAAGAATCCCTTTTAGTTCTTAAGTAGAGTCAAAGCTTTAAACTACTTCAAACCCATCCAAAATATGTTCAAAGTAAATATAAGATTCTTCTCAATTAAGCTGAAAAATGTGTCGAACCAAGATTTGCTTGTGTTGCGACAACTTAAACTGTGCCAAATATATATTCACTCAATATTAAATAGCAACAAGAGAGAGAAAGAGAGAGAGAGAGAGATAAAGAGAACTTACCTAAACGCAATTCGCCAAAGTTACCACAGCCAATTTTTTTACCGACACGAAAATTTGGTCCGACCATAAGCACACCGGTCGTGGTGCTCACAGATTGGCGGGTGGAATACATGTTATTGCTTGTGCTCTTACCACCGGCAAGGGTAGCATTTGCCACATTACCAGCGGATGGACCGGCAGTTGTCGTCTGTGGACCACCGCCACTGGAAAGAGAATGTTTAAAGGATGGATTAGTAACTTATAGAGTTAATTATATGCATGTCTTTGTGTGCTCGTGTGTGTACGTGTGTGCGTGTGTGCGTGTGTGTGTGTGTGCGTGTGTACGTGAGTGTGCGGATGCAACAACCTGAGATAGGTTTTAAATTTTTCTATCAACTTGGGCGCCATTATTACAAGTCTCACCAAACCATATAAAACAATTAACATTCAACAATCTAATTGACAGAACGTAAACAAAGCGTCTTAAATATATATAACACACCCGCGAATCTCGCGAAAATACAAGACGTTCTCTCGGCTGTTTAATTGTCGTTTTTGTTGTGTTTCATTTGTAAGTACGTACTCGTTTTTTTTATGTATGCGATACATTCAATTTTGAGAGACTACAAAAGCAAAGCAACTTTTTTTTTTTTTTTTATTTTATATATATATATACTTTTTTTTTTTTTTGAAATTTCAACTGGTTTCCTTCAACAATTGTGAGTTCCGAAAATCAGTATGACCCGATCATTGAAATTCTATTGGCCGACTACATAAATAAAATGTGCCCAAGGAAAAATGTTTGGCTAACCATAACTAGATAAGTTCTACACGCTTTTGCGGCCAGCTGTCAGTACGAATTACTCGATTATTAGGGCAATATATACAAATGAATGTTCGATCACAATAAACTAAAATGATTTAATTACTCCAAAAAACGTATTCATCATTTTACAATCCGTGAACCGAAACAACTTACAATTAGATTATAGACATGAAATTTTAGGCACTTGATCATACAATGATACTTGAATGCTTAAAGATGAAAATCCAAGACATTGACATAGTTTAAGGACTCGAACCAAATAAGAAAGAGCATACATGCAAACTTGCTTGACGTGACAAAGGACAATGACACAAAAGTTTTCGCTTGCATATTTAAATAGCCACAACAAAGACAGCCACAGACAAGCCGCAGCCAATCATAGAACCTCCTCTGGCCAGCTACGCGCCCGTAAATGTGCCCGCCCGCGTGGAACGTTGCCGCCCAACGGACGGACGGCAACCGATGTGGGTGACTCACTCGCTGAGCGCGTGAGCTACGCTTTTGGAAACATGAGTGCACATATATACATATAGATATATACATATAGATATATTTGATTAAGACAAAAGCCTTTTAAGTCTCTGTGCTTGAAATTCACAATTTGTGCTGCGACTTGGGCGTGGCGTGAAAATTCTGAGCAGTTGTAAATCTGGTTCAATGCCAGGTCAATTATTCAAATTATTGCAACATCTGCCTCGTCATGCAACCCACCGCTCGCCCAGTCACGCGCGAACACCAGGCAATAGGAAACCCAAGGGGAACAAAATGCGTTTGACTAAGGGCGTTTATAGCCGCCAGTTGCCCTGACCTAAAGTCAAGGTGATATGAAAACAAGTATCCGGGGCCGACACTGCATCGGCCATCAGCAAGTAGATGATATTATTAGCGAGATAAAAACTAAATTCAAGAAACGTGCAATTACTTCAATATTTAGAAAAGTAAGTACTTCAGCTCTATTTCTATAAATATGGAAGTAAAGAGAGAGAGAGAGAGAGAGTTCTCAGTTGAGAGTGATTGACGTGTTTTACTTGTGCGCCAAGATTTGTATATATTTAAGAGCTTCCATCTAGCTTTTTGTTTCTAAATTTTGCATTATTTGTGCTTTGTGTAAAAAGCATTTATTACTTGTACAATGTGCTATTCGTTGTGCAGCGTAATTTTATTAATTATTGCATTTAATGAACGCGGCTTGGTAGTGCGTGTGCTCGCTTGTGCATATTTCTGCTTGAGCATCGCGCTCTCACAAATTTGACCTTTTGCCTTTTGCTTGAAACAATAATTTGATTGTCTATAAGAATATATGTCAGAAGAAAGCATCTTTAACCTTATAAAGTATATATATTCTAGATCAGCATCAATAGCCAAGTCGATCTAGCCATGTCCGTCTGTCTGTGCGTATGTATGAATGCAAGGGTATCACAACCTATAAGAGCTAGCGACTTAAATTGGCAAATTAAACACCCCCATTGGGCGGCGATGCGTTTAGAAAATTGTGTATTCTAATTAGGCTTTTAGTATTTTATTTTCACAATTTGATGTATTAAATGATAAGGAAGATATAATCTATAAATAAATAAAAATTAATAAATAAATAAAATAAACGTCACAAGAACATGAAAATATTTATTATCTAGTGATATAGATAGATATCATTTTAGGTAGATTTATTGAATGATTCCTTAAGAATATCGGCTTTATACCATTTCCTATGTTCGTTTTTCACGGGGTTTTTGTATATGAAAATAATTTTCACATGTCTAAATCGATTTTGGGGATCCATTATATTCGTTTTCAAGTCAAAATGTATAATGAGCTCTCCTCTATTTAGAGGGCGCAATCTTGTTCTACAAGTTTTTGCTAACCTAATTAGAGTTCCACACAAAAACAGTGCTAATCATAAACTAACGGGTTAGAGAACGAAAACTGCATAGTTATAAAACCGATTATTATATAAACTAAACATTGATTAAATTTCGAAAAATACAAAACATTTATTGTTATATGTATGCTTCCCAATCTGGTTTCCCAGCTTAGATACTATGTATGCATATATTTGTATATGTAATTTTTTTCTTCTGTATCACTCATACACACACACACACTCCAGTTACACTCATACACACACACACACACACACACAGACAATACGAAATAGCGATAATTGTACCGTTAAGCACTGCTGTTAAGGAAAAAGAATATAAACCGCCGATAACAATTAAACCCAAGGCAATAACAGCAAACTTTCTGCAAACTAGCAGCGAAATCACAGTCGTGTGTGTGTGTGTGTGTGTGTGTGTGTGTGTGTGTAGAAGAAAGGCAAGTGGTGTAGTGGGAGTGGGGCGAGAGGAAAGGCAACGGACTAAATCGAATCGAATTGAAACTCAAAGAAGAAACAAGTTTTCTCCTCGCTGTTTGCTGCCTGCCTGTTGCTTGTTTGTGGCCTGCCCGTTTTTTATGGCTCAATATCCTGCAGCCAAAACTGGTTCAAACCAATCCATCGATCGAACGTCGCGACGAACTTCACAGCGAGCTCCGGAGCTGAGCTTCAGCAGTTCGTAAGTAATTTCGGGTCGTTCGCTTTACACTGCTTTATTTCTGTTATTTTTGTTTTTGCTTTTCGCAAACGAGTTCTCTCTCTTTCTCTTTCTCTCTCTCTCTCTCTCTCTCTCTCTTGCCCTTTCTTGCCTTTGTTCTTGAATTGGTTTTATAAATTAAATGTGAGAAACAGACTCACCATTTGGCATCGGGACAAGCACACAGCTGGCCTGACTATCATTGACCGGTTTCTAGGTTGCAAAAAGGAATATACCCCCACCCCCCCCCCCCCTCCATCACACACATACAGTCAAATAACTGTTCTTTGATAACAACCAATTGAAAGTACACTCTGCTCTATTAAGCATTGTAAAACTCGAAATTTCACCTCAAACTTCTTTGTTTTGATATAACAAATAGATATTATAGGTTATCAAAGCTAATTATTTCCTTTTTAATCATTTATAGTAACAATTTTCGTTTATCTTTAAAGAAAACTGCAACTGTTCTTGGATAACTGTTTGAGCAGAACATTAAAAAGCAGAAAGTAAAAAGATGGTTCATCAAAATAAACCAAAGATTAGGCGGTTTCCACAATACCCATCTCTCTTACACCTACGGAAGGTATAAAACAAAATATAAAATAAAAAATAAATAAAATTGTTTATTTTTAATATGTGCAATTTAGTTAATAACTACTATAATCCGGTCCATGTTTCTTGTCAGTACTCTTAACAATATTGGAAGAAGTAGAAGTTCAATACATTTAAAGTCAAGTGTTTTAACCTTTGATATATTAAGCCATACTTCCAACAAAAAAACTAATTTCAGCAGAGAACAAATTAAAACCACAAAGGTAGTCAAAAGGAATTGATATAGATGTAGAGCAAAGATAGATACAAAATCGATACATAATTAAAAATAAGCCACTGGCTAAAAATAAAACTCTTTTGTGGAAAAGTGGCTTTCCATACACATACACACACACACACACACCCCCACATATTCACAGAAACGTGTTGGAAAAGCGCCATGAATAAATCTAGCGCAAATCGAACAAAAACTTAAAGCAAATACGAAAGAGAAGCGACAGCGACGCGGTCGAATCGAGTCTGAAAATTGGACATAGACGGAAAGTCCCCAAGGGAACTAGACAAGCGACTGTCACCACAACAGCAACAGCAGCAACAACAACAATAACAAGTTCAACTTTTCGCATTAGCCAACGCAATTTGCAGAAATTTGTCAAATTATTGATTTCGAATCTGACAGTGCTTGTCAAACTGCTAGCAAAATCTGTTCTGATTTGACTCACTTTGCAATTAAATTAAGCCAGAAACCTTACAAAAACTCTAGCCAGCAAATTTTAAAGGTGGCGGCCAAAAACCAAATGAGACTTAAAGTAAACAACATTTCCACCACGCCCAAGATTTTATACCCTTGTAGACATTTGCCTTGCGGCTTTGCAGTTATTGCAGAATAGTAAAGCTCATAAGTGCGATTCTTCACATAGAGCTTTGTTATATAGTAGTACGATATTGATAGGATTTGGCACATACATCAACAGCAAAGCTTAATTGGTAGCCTCTTTACGCATTTTAAATGGGTTCTGGGTATAATAATACCCTCTACGAGGGACGGAAAACTTGCTAGCACCACACATACACTTTAATATATACATACAAAATAACATGTGTAGACACGCACTCAAACGCACAGACAGGCACATCCAAGCATACCTACACATATACACGCATGATAAATAAAATAAGTGATAAGCCGTGTCGTTATCAATTGGCCTGCTCCTCACCGACAATCCCTGACAATCATCCCAAATGGATTTGAACTGTGACGTGTTTGCCGCCTCTTTATGTTTTTTTGCATTTTTGTGTGCCTTTCGTTTATGCATAACAATTGCGTTGTTTCTATTTTTAGACGCAAATCAATTTCATTATAATTGTCTGACAGCAATTGAATTTAAATCATGACAATTGAGATCTCCCGACTGCCCGACACTCTGTTTCAAATGCTCCCGGACCAACTACGTGGCGCTGGTGACTTTACAAATGTTATCCTAACACAGTTTCTCTCAAACTATGTAAAGAGAAGGTTCCACGACAATGATTGTGCCAAAAATAATTACACGGAAAATCCAATATACCAAAATACCACTTTATAACATCAAAACCGAGTATATCTGATTAAAGTTCTTTATTTGTACTTATGAGACAAGATAAAACAGTCGGAAACATAAACTATTGCCAATTTTCTATCTTCTTCCCCCTTTGTCTGTGTCTGTCACATGATTTATCTCGAGAGGCTCTACGTCAACTACTTACAATGTTATTAGTTAAAAATCGTAAAATTTATCTAAAACAAGTAAAAAGGCAGAGATGAACTTTTAAACATGTTAAATGCAAATATCGTGTACTTTTATGTAGATTTCATAGAAAAAAGATGCGAAGAAAATAAGTTCATAATTCAATTCTATTGACAAAACTCCAACAATGCGCATTGTTATTGCTTTTAATACTTATGTATATTATTTTTGTTTGTTGTCGTTGTTGTTGTTGTTGCTGTTGTTGTTGTTGTTGTTGCTGTTCGTAATCGAATTGCCGCACATAACATGTCAATATCCACTTTCAATGGCATTTGACGTTAACAAAAAAAAAACAGCAGAAAATAAAAAGCGTAGCAAACGCGAAACATCAAAGCAACAACAACGACAACAAGGTTTTGATTCACATAACACAAATGAACAGCCGGTTGCCCCTACATAACCCCGACCCCACCACACCCTGCCGCACACAACCACACGTTCAGAGACAACAAGCAGGGCAACAAAATGATAAGCAAAAAATTCTCGCACTAACACAAAGCCTCGCGCACACACACACACACACACACACATGAAAAGCATTGACGAAGCTGCAGTGTATACACACTGAGAAAAACAAATTGGCTAGATAAGGGCGCGTTGATTAGGGGCCGCGACGTCGCTGACAGACAAACAATAGCGAGTCCAAATGAACGAGTCCAAATGAACTAGTGCCAAGCGCTGAAAAGAGCGCCGGTAAAAAGAATAGCAACGAGTAGGCAGCATCAGCCGGCCGACCCGCTGCCGACTGCAGTTGGGTTGCTCTTGGGGTAAGGCGATTGGACGTCACAGTGCCTCAGCTTTTCGAGTGTTAGTGAGCGAGCGAGTGTGTGTGTGTGTGTGTGTGTGTATGAGCGGCGCCTCAATGGCCGATTGACCTTTGCATGTTAGATTAACATTGATTATGCATCTGTGTGTGTGTGTGTGTGCGCTTGCAGCCGTTACTTTGTAAAGGCGTACACATGTACACGTGTATACATATTTATATGGATGTATGCGTTGTGTTTGGGGGCCAGGCATCGAGCGACTTAATTAGTTTAGTCCACAATTCACACACGTGCAAAAGCTAAAATCTATGTAAATGAGCTTTAGAGGTCAAACATTATCAGGAAAACGCAGCGAAAACGCCCACCCTGCCAATTATACATATGTATACATGTATATGTGTGTATATATGTACATACATATGTACGTATAAATTGTCTGTAATTTGCTTTCTAGTCTCTTCCTGCATAGACAACCTTCTCGCTCGTTAGCATTGTAAACTACCTTCTAACCGCCAGCCCCTGAAGCTTTTTGTTCTACTTTTACACTCAATTTCTTCCTTCCGCTTGAGGAAGGACGTCTTCTTCCAACCCATTCGCCCCCTATCTGACAGCATTGAAAAACCTCACGTGCATTGGTGGCCACAATACTTTTTCAAGTGTGCAAGTAAATACGAACGCACACAGATGCATATACATGAGTTTGCGCCTCATCTTGTAGCGTGGAGGTCAAAGTCGCGCGCTGCGATTTAAGTATTTGTTCTTTTTATATTATTTTGTTGAACAATAGAGAGTAAGATCTGCTAACACTATTAACAGTTTGGCATGCGAACTCTGCTCAACACATGTTTAACATACGCATACACATATGCATGTAAATGCGAATTACACTAACCCGGCAAACTCCGTCAAACGGTGCTTTTATTTCTGCTTTGCTTCTCTACACGCTCTCTCAACGCCGCCGTGGTCTCATTCGTTGACGTTCGCAACGATGCGGGGGAGCCGAGCGTTGACTCTGCTTGTCAAACTGTGGGCACAGCTGTTTCTTCTGCTGATGCTGCGGCCGTTAACTCAAGCTCGTTGATTGGCTGCGTCTTTTGTGCTGCAGCTGTTGCTGCTTGTTGTTTTAATTGAAACTTGTTTTGTTAATTGTTTAATTGTTATTGAAACTTGTTGTTTTATCATTTAATGCAGACTGCACATGCACTCGCACTCAATTTACATTTGGCAACTCTTTAAGCATTTCCTTGAAATTCAAATATATTATTTCGTTGCCTTTGAATACACATTTCTTTCTAAACATATTTTTCTTTTCTTTTTTTTTTTGCACATAAAACACTTCACTTTTCGCCAAACTTTTTTCACGTTCGTCGATTATTTAACGCCAACGCGCTTTCTATTTTACACAATATTCACACAAGTCTACAACAACAATGGCAGCGGTAGTCTCCACTAATTATTGTTGCTTTGGTTTTGTTTTGTGTTTGACGTTGACTGCCTGCCTGTCGACAATTAAAGCTCAACTACAGCCAGCACAAGCCTCGGTGCCTGTGTTAAGTTGTTGAGTGCTTGGAGTTTGAGTGAAATATGTAAAAATGTGATTTTTAATTTGTCATATCCGTTGCGCTTTGACTTTGTATGCGTGTGTGAGGGAAATAGAGTGCGCTTGCGACCCTGCTCATATCATATGTTGCAATTGGAGTCGCAACTTTCGCCACATTATGAAATTAATGAAGCGGCGGCGCCCCCAACTGCTGTCTTAAACAGTTTTCGCGGGTCAAAAGTCTGAGGACTACATTAATACACACACACCTATTTATGTATGTGTATGTATGCATGTATTATACACACATGCATATGGCTCGTAAAGAGAAGAGATACAGAAACCGAAAAAGCAGCAGGCATAGCCCAGGCAAAATATAAATTGTAGAAAAAGTCATAAATAACTCGAAAAACCAGTTTCGTGTTGCCGGTGTACACACAAGGCAGCAAGAAAAACAACAACACCAACAGCAACAACAACGCCAGCAGCATCAACAATAAACAAATGTGCAAGAAGTGCTGCGCTGCTGCTGCTGCTGTTTGAGCGAGCGAGAAAGCGAGCTAAGAAAAACACTCTTAAAACTCGTTAAAGTTGTGCAGAAGTAAAGCACAGAGGCAAATAAAAAAAAAAACGGACAGCTGACTCAAACATAAAATAGATACATAATACATGCACGCATATACAGTTGCGTGTGTGCATGTGTGAGTGAGACAACGACTCATTAATAGAGTAGGCAGCAAGAGATAATAAGTTTTTACAGTTTGACAGACACAGTGCTCAGGTGTATAAAATTGAGTGCAAACGGTGCAATAAATAAACTCCAGACAAAACAAACTCAACACATTTACAAAGCAAATATACTTATATTTCTTGTGCATAAACTAGCTTTGGAAAATGTGGCAGGCAGCAAACTAGAGCAAACACAAATTAACAAAACGTCACAACGATAAAGTGCTTAACACATACACATGCGCACTCATTTTTTCAATTATATGCATGTGTCTATATGTGTAAACACCCACACAAACACTCACTTAGCCACGCATGCAACGGCATACAGAATTTCCTCCATGCGTATGCTTTTGTGAGTGTTGTTGCTGCTGCTGCTGCCCCTGCTGCTGTTGTTGTATGTATGCACACCCGCAGCGCTCTGCGCGACCGAGCGTTGCAAAAACAACTTGATGTTTTTTTTTTTCAAGCCAACAGCAACGATAATGGCCACAAAGAAATGACAACTGCTATGGCGCACGATCAAAAACGAACTGAGAGTACGAACGAGCGAGCGAGCGCCAATCTGAGCAAGCAAGTAACGGCGAGTAACTATTGCGTGAGAGAACGAGCGAGAGAAAGAGAGAGAACAAGATTTAGCTTCTGCCGCAGACACAGATACGACAACACTTGTGCTTGTGAGCGTGTGAAAATTAAAATGCGGCAAATGAGCATTTTGTATAAGTATGTAATTATTGTTGCTGCTGCTGTTGCTGCTGCTGTTACTGTTGTCGCGCCGTAGGGGAGATATACAGGCAGGCAGGCAACAACATTCAAGCGTAGTCAATAGAACGAGAGAACGGAGCGACATAAGTATTGATAATGATAAATAGTTGTTCGTGTGAATTTATGTATGTATGTGTGTGCACATGCGTCAGAGCAAAAACTACAACACAAACTTGTTACACATACTAAAAGCACCTGTCAAACACATGCACATGAATAAAAATATATATATATACAAAAAAAATACAGCGAAGCAGGCCGGCTGTCGTGATCTGTTAAGCAATTGAATGTGACCAGAGAGTTGGCAGCTTTTAACTGAAGTTGAGTGACTCATGCGCAGGTGCCTTGGCCTCGCGCATACATACATAACTGTGATATGTGACCAGCTGTTTGCTGTTACTTTAACAGCGACCAGCAATAACAGAGGCATGTGGTATATTTTTTATTTATAAATTTTAACCCATTGATACCGTTAATACAATATGAAATAAATTTGTAAGTATTTAGTATTTTAATATTCAACGACATCTTGAATGGGGTGTTCATAGTTAAAAATGGTCAAAATGTGAAAGAACAACTGAACAGCTGAAGCTGTACATGTTGTCAAATACGTAAATGCAGACAAATTTTAACGTAGAATTACAAGAACTATAATACAACGCAACTTCAACTATTAAATATCGAAATATCCAATCAGGAAATAATGAAAATTATCAATTACACATTTTTAAATACTTTGTTTTCCTGTGCATTTACACAAACAAGGTGAGTTTTAGCAGTATTTATGAGCTACTCCAAAATACCGCATGTCAAAGAAATTGGTTACTCTCTCTCTCTCTCTCTTTCTGTCATGCCTTGCGTAAGTTAAGAGTATAAAAATAACCAGGTCGATGATGTCGCATTGTTGCCAACCAACCAGCACAACACACGCTTGCAACATAAAATATAACTTTTCGCACGACTTCTATTTTTGATTTTTTTTTTTTTTTGGGTCTGGATTAAACTAAATTTTGCGCTATTATAGTAAAACCGCTAGAAAATCTGGTGTAGCACAGTGTGGGCTAGGCAAAGGCAGGATTACCACCTGTCCCACACAGACCGCAGCTGAAGGCCGAAATTGCGTGCGGCAACAGAAAAGTGGCTGAAACGCTGATGGAAACTTGACGTCAGGAGATGGCAGGCAACCCAACAGTGAATAGCAGCTGTGGCACATAAAAACAAGGACGAATTGCGTATTTAGAAAAAAGAATGTGAGTGTTAAAGCGTATACGCAAAGAAATAAAAAGTAAAGCACTCGACTCCGCTTGCAAACGAGCAGCAGAACGATGGAACGGCGAAACGAAAGCACAATGAAACGACAAACGGACCAAGTGACCCATCAAACATTATGCGCCAATGACGTCATTAAGCTGTTGGCGGCTGTCAATGTCGTTGTCGTGCCCTCTCTCTCTCTCTCTCTCTCTCTCTCGCTCTCTCTTCAAATGCGTGTTCGCGTATTATGTGTGGGTGCATAAAATATTGATGTTTCTCTAAATGTAAGGAACAGATGATGCTGCTCATGATGTACAAAAGGTAGAATAATAGAGAGAGAGCGCGAGAGAGAGCGGAAAGAAGAGAGAAGGAGAACAATGAGATACAAGTGCAGCACTACACAAGAGCGATGTGCGTGTTGCAATCGCTAAAAATTGAATAAAGTGTGCATAAAACGGAAATCAATTGCTGATAAGTGTAAACGACGATTGGGTGGTGGGTGGGTGGGTTGGCTAGTGTGCGTATGTGTGTGTATGTATGTACCTATCTAAGAATTGGCGTCGCTTTCTATTACAAAACACCTTGGCATTATGTGTGATGAAAGAGCTTGCGGGAGTAGGAAGCAGTTGAAAGCTTTCGAGTTGCGAGAATGTATAAAAATAATGTGTTCATCAATAGACACAGCAAGAGCATCAACCACGACGTCAGTAAAAGAACAAGAAAACGAAGAAGAAGACGAAAAGCCAATAGTGTGAAATTTTCATCTAATTAAATTAGATGCCAGTCATGCTTGAAGCCAAAAGCTCAACAAGTGCGAGCAGGACAGAGGCGCCGAGAGAACAGGCTGCATAGTAAAATGCCTGTCAAACAAATCGATGAGATTTAACGACCAGCCACCAAAACAGTAGCTCACACACACACTCACACCTGCACACGTACAGCTGTGAGCTGTGCGCCTAGGCGCAGAAACAATACCAATATCAAAATCCAGTGACGAAGGCAATCAGGATGAGTCATGAAAATGATTTCGTGGGCTTTTGATGGGATTATAAATTACATCCAGATAAACCTAGGCTCGTAGTGCAGTCAGCTTATAAATATGCATTCAAAATTAATTGAAGCTCGGATTCAACAAATGTAATAAGTAGTCTAAAGTCAGGAAGCACTGTAATACCAACATTTGTTTGTAGCACATTATATTTACAGGTCCTAACTGTTTACTGTTCAATTCAGTAAACTGTAGAACAGTTCAGCTCATTCCAAGGACTACAATTACTGAAATTGTTTGGGTTAATCACATCAACTTTCAAAATATAAAAATATATATCATATATATCCCTCAATATACTTCTGCTCTCAAACTGAAATTGTAAACATCCTGACCTTCAATGGATCCATTATACACGTTGCGGCCTTATCAAAATCCTATGTAACTCCTATTTATTTGGCTAACAACACGATTTGTAAATCGAAAATAAAAATTGAAAATTTATGCTGGATTTGAACCGGCTCCCTTTCACTTGTTGGTCGGTCGCTATACAGCTGAGCTATTATTTGTTTGATTTGCATACAAACTTTCATACTTTGATAATATAAATATACAAACATACAACAAAGTTGCGCAAGAGTATCTAATCCTCGAGACGCACATTTTGGCTAGGCTTAAATAAAGTTGACATGTCCATGAACGTTTTACCCACAAGCAGCTTCAGCAGCCCCAATAGCCCCAACAGCCAGCTGAATCCTTTACAGCGATAAGTGATAAGCACACTTCACTGTGAATGGCAAACGGCAAATGGCAGCGTCAAGTGACTGACAGATATAAGCTGTTCATTAGTGACAGCT